GCTAACAAGTGTGCCAACCTCTCTAACTGTTTCAACATAAACTGTACCAAAAATAAATACCTCACGATGTCTATCTAATTATGAACTTGCAATACTTTCACGAAACTCATTTTTGGTGTTAACAAATGCAAGAAAGTAACATATTTACCCACACATGTTCTACGCCACTACATACTTACATTTAAATGTGTGCTGTGTCGGTTCAGCCATTCTCCGCCTGGGTTTTTGAAATTGGTCCGTGCGCAAAGCATTGTGGGGATTTGAAGGACGCGAAGTCTACCCATGTGCAGCCTCGACATTTCCCCCAAACCAAGGACGCTGCCTCGGTGGAATTCCAAGTATGCTGGAGATTGGAACAGTCCTTCGGCGGCACTCGATGACATAGCATCCTTGAAATATTGGCTTGGAAGCCAGTTTCCTCGCGATTGAGAAAGGGCCACAGACACACAGACAGACCCAAACACACACATTATTTATTTTTATTTATTTTCATTTTTGTTTCTTTATTTTTTTATTATTCATCTATTCAATATCATATACGAGCACCACACAATTTTACATACAGCCAAGTCCAGAGGCAGGCATACAAAGCAACAAGACATTGCATACAGTAAATAAAGAAAAAAGGAAAGAAAAATACATTTTGCTAACTTCAGATTAAATGTTTTTTAAATATCAAATTAGTTTTGTTTGATTTGGTTTGGAGTTAAATAATGTAAATTAAATACGGTTTATTGCGGTGATAACTATTTATAAAAATTAGTATATTGCAAGATGACAACAGGAATGTTTATCGGGGCACCTAACAGACACAATACATGAAAAACAAACAACAAACATTTAACATAACAGCAACCTAACATGTTTTTCCTTTCTGATAAAGGTCCAAAGGGAGATTCTGGTATCCCAGGAGGCCCCGGTGGTTCTGGAGGTCCTGGAGGAAAGGGCAGCATGGGAGAAATGGGATTCCCAGGTGGGTTTGAACTCAGTTCTGAATCAGAAGGTCCATCTTATCTTATCTTATAAAGGTGGCCAGAGATGAGGAACAGCCTCCCAGTACAAATCCAAACTGCTCAGTCTATTGAACTTTTTATATCTCAGCTAAAAACTCACCTCTTTGTACTGGCTTTTAGTACGAGTTGAACGTAACATTTTGACATTTGTATGTGTTTTTATATAGATAGATAGATAGATGGATGGATGGATGGATGGATGGATGGATGGATGGATGGATGGATGGATGGATGGATAGATACTTTATTGATCCCAATTCGCGAAATGTTTGCGTTGCAGCAGCATAAAAAACAAGGCAATGTACATAAGAGAAATTAAGACACTAGAAATAAACAATCCAAAATATTTCTGAAATAAAATAGCATTAAAAAGTCAAAAGATGTGGAAATACAAATATGTTTCTAGTTATTGTGCTTTTTATCTTGTTTTTTGATTATTGTTTTATTATTTTACTCCTATTGTGTTATTTTATATTGTATATGTTCCCTGTACAGCGCTTTGGTCAACTGAGGTTGTTTTAAATGTGCAATATAAATAAATAAAGATTGACATAAAGCAAAAAAAGGGTCTACGAAAAAGTTGTTTTCAAAAATGCTAATGTCTCACTTTGATGATGGCACAGGACCATCAGGACAGAAGGGTCTGTCAGGTCAGCCAGGTAGACCAGGAGGTCCAGGACAATCCGGAGGATCTGGTTTCCCCGGATCTAAAGGTGAACCCGGATCTGCTGGAGTCGGACCCCCCGGATCCGGAGGACTTAAGGTAAAGGACTCAACCGTAGAAATGTCCTATCTAGGGGTGGGGGAAATAATCGATACAGTATGGTATCGCGATACTTTGAGTGGCGATATTGTATCGATACACGGATGCCAAGGATCGATATTTTATTATAGAAACTGTAGCATATCCCTCGGAAAGAGGGTCGTACACTCCAACTCCAAAAACCAACGTAAGAGCTACACAAAGACACAAAACAACAAATACATTTAAGCTACATCCATATGAGTATTACTTTAGAATACCATTAAACAAGTGAACTTCAAATAGTTAGCAAAGTTCTTTTTCTCCGTCAAGTTTTTGCCTGGGAACAGTAACTTCCTACTAATATCGCAACGTCCCCTTCAAATAAAAGCATGTCTAAATAAAACAGGAAGTTATGTTGCGATGAAAGTAACACAAATCTCCTTTCCAGGTTCAAAGAACACAAATTGGTTTTTTTTACATAAACTATTCATATTGCAAATACATTTTTTAACCAGGAAGGGAAGACGGACATGGATACGACCAATGTGATTTGCAATATCGCAATATATCGTATCGCAACACTATCGTGGCTTAAGTATCGCGATAGTATCGTATCGTGGGGGGCCTGGTGATTCCCACCCCTAGTCCTATCCCATTTTACTCTATTTGGCTTAAAGACCTGGTATTCTTTCTGAAGCTTGAGAAAGTAAAATATGCTCTTAAAGGGTCTGTAGACGGTTTTTATAAGAAATGGCAATGTTTGATAGATTATTTCAACAACCTCCGAACACTCCCGACTGATAGTGGGAAATTACCTCTCTTTTAATGTTTTTATTTATTTTGATATACATTCTTATTTATATTTGTACTTACTGATACGTTTTTACTTGCCATTTTATTTACTTATTGTTATTAATATAATTTGTTGTCACTGTGTTTTTTTTTTTATATATCTGAATGTGGAATCAATATGTTTAATTTTTTTATTAAACTTTTCAAGGTGGGCTGGGAGGGGAGGTCATGGTTTGTTCTAAAAAAAAAGTGAAAATTGATGAAGATCATTGTCTCAATTGTGACCCTTTGCCTGTTCTTCAATAAAAAAAGATTGAAAGAAGAAATGTCCTCCTTAAAAAGTGCACATTTTAGGTCAGCATTTAATCTTTTTGAAATGTGTCCCACAGGGTGAACCAGGTCAGCCAGGCTTCCCAGGAAATACAGGACTTAAAGGAACTCCAGGATCTTCAGGTCAACCAGGAGGATCAGGAGGACCAGGATCCAAAGGAGACCCCGGACTTCCAGGATTCCAAGGTACGTCTGAAGTTTGAACAACGCTTCAAGAAGGTCACTCAGAAGTCATAACTGTGCAGTTCATGAGATGTCCTCTTTGGAGAAAAGTGCTTACACTCTTAAAGAAAAGCAAGAGGCCTTTTTTATTCTATTTGGGATCCTTTTGTCCTTCTTTACTTGATCGTACTTATTTTTCCGTATTTGCTTGAAATGTGGAAAACGTGAAAAAAGACAATGGGTGAAAAAAGTTTATTTTGTGTTGCCATAAGTTAGTCTCTCTGCGTTTCTGCGCTGGGCTAATGCTAATAATGCTAATGCTAGGATAATAAAATGGCGGCTTCACAAAACTTTTTGCCAAATGCCAATCAGACATAGGAACCTTTTTCTCCCAGGAAAGTTCCTGCTCTCTAGCAGGTACGGAAAAGGGGGCAAAAAAGGTTCTGATGAACTAATTTTAGTTCCGGCTCTTTTTGGTGTGAACGCGACATTTCAGAACTATATCGGAACTAAAGTGGGAAAAGTACTCCGGTGTGAACGCGGCTTATGGGGGGGGACATCGGAAAAAAGTGCACTCAATGCATATTTTCAGTGCTATTGTTAAGGTAAAACAGAGCAACATTAACCGATGCGTGGTCTCCGTCTCCTCTCAGGTTCTCCCGGTATTCCCGGTCCTAAGGGTCTGGACGGCGGTTCCGGTGGTCCCGGTCTCACTGGAGCTCCAGGTAGACCAGGAGAGTCTGGAAGATCAGGAGGCCCAGGACAACCCGGAGACAAGGGTCAGGCGGGTCGGGACGGGATCCCAGGACCAGCTGGAGTCAAAGGAGACCCAGGTAAGACCAGTAATGTTAGGAAAACTAAACTTTAAATACAAATTGATAACATATTTCGTAGGGATGGGAATGATTGATTGAATATTCCAAATGATTCAGGTATTTTAATATGAGTTATGAATATTTGTGGGAGGGGTGCCTAAGTTGATATGGCATATAATATATATATGTATATGTATGTATGTAATATATGTATGACATATGATCAAATGGATTAATTAAATGTATACGACAGTGCCATTTAAAATATCTTAAGAAAAATACCAAAGAAAAAAAAAACACTACGTACGCTCTACAGAGTCCTACAAAACAAACATGGCGTCGAAACGGAGTAAAGTGTGGAAATATTTCAACCAGGTTAGTGAGGACGGTGTAGAGTGCAAACTATGCAAAGTTAAACTTGTGTACAGGTCAACTAGCTCAATGCTTAACCACATACAAATTGGACAAATTCTATATTTATTTGAACATTTATTTATTATTAAAACTTTTTTTTTTTTTTTTATTCCCATCCCTAATATTTTTGGCTAAATGAACTTCTGTTTCCCGTCTTCTCCAGGTCTTCCAGGTTACGGTGGACCCGGCGCTTCCGGACTTCCAGGATTGCCCGGTGAGTAACAACCCACTGAATGATAATGGACACACACACACACACACTCCCTGACACACACCTTAGGAGCATCCAGTGCAATGGTTTTCACTGAAAAGACAATACAAATAATCATATTTTGGGACTTCAAATGTAATAAAAAATGTTGTCCCAACTTAGAAGTCATATTTTTAGTAACTCAAACACACTCTAAACCTCAAAATTAATAACTTGTTTCCTTTTATTCACAATATTGCAACAAAATGTCAGCACTGTCCTCACACCAGCACTGTGTTAGGCTTTTGAAAAAACAAAATGGGTGACAAAAGCCATGTATATTTCACCACCAACTAATGACCTTCTTAATTTGTGGACAGCAGCTCTAATATAATTAGAATAGTACTAATACATTTGATTTCGAAGCGCTTTTCAAAGTGGTGATAAAAAGGGAATAAAATATATAACTATCTTTACTTTATTTCCCTCTCAGGCTCAAAGGGAGACTCCGGTGGTCCTGGTCCATCTGGCTCTCCTGGTTTTCCCGGATCTAAGGGAGATGCTGGTTTTCCCGGAAACCCTGGTCCCTCAGGCAACAGTGGCCCTTCAGGGTCTCCAGGTCTAGCTCTGCAGGGCCCCAAAGGACTCTCAGGACCCCCTGGACCCCCCGGAAGAGCAGGTAAAGCATCCGAAAATATGTATTTGTCTCCACATGTGCTGCCAGAAAAATTGCTGCCTGGTTTTCTGATTCTGAGGGCTGGTTTGAGGGGTGGTAATGTTCACAGAAAAGCATTAATTGGGATGGCATCTGGGAAAAGGTAGGGTTGATCAAACTTGGCTAAATTATTCGACGTGGTTCCTTGACATTAAAAAAAAATTGGAGGGTTTTTTGTGCAAATTTATAATAAAAATTCACAGAAAATCTCGTACAATTGTGTTTTTATTTCTTGTAAATTCCGATCGAATCTTAAAGAATATCTAAATGGATATTTTTGTATATTTGACACCTAGAATAGCCTTAATATGCAGTTGTTAGAGTGTATTACAAACAGGTCTATAATGTAACTTAAGTGTAAAAGCTATGATTGTTCTTTTTAATAGATAAATAAATGTCTGCCTTATGCAGCGTGTAGTTATTCGTCTCATACGTACAAAACCAGCAGAATCCTGTATACGTAATTTGCAATACAAACATTATATTTATAAAGAAAATACATTACCGTTGCATTAAGTTTATTTAAAATGTAGTTTATTCGGTTTTCCTAACCTGCGAAAACCAGGCAGCAAACGG